CCCCCTTGAAGGGCCGGAACACGATGGCTTTGTAGCGGACGGGATAAAGGACAAAACCCCGGCCGGGCTGGATGACACCGGCGCCGATGTTATCGATTGTTGTCACCGCAATCACAAATCCATATCTGGGGACAGAAATGGGGACAGAGTGACACAGAGTGACAGAAACAGGGACAGAGTGACACAGAGTGACACAGGGACATGGGGACACAGAGTGACACAGGACAAAACCCCGGCCAGGCTGGATCACACCCGCTCCGATGTTATCAATGGTGGTGACAGCGATGACAAATCCATATCTGGGGACAGAAATGGGGACAGAAATGGGGACATGGGGACACAGAGTGACACAGAGTGACACAGGACAAAACCCCGGCCGGGCTGGATGACACCGGCTCCGATGTTATCGATCGTTGTCACCGCAATTACAAACCCGTACCTGAGAGGGGACAAAGGGACAGAGTGACACAGAGTGACAGAAACAGGGACAGAGTGACACAGAGTGACACAGGACAAAGCCCCGGCCGGGCTGGATCACACCCGCTCCGATGTTATCGATGGTGGTGACAGCGATGACAAATCCATATCTGGGGACAGAAATGGGGACAGAGTGACACAGAGTGACACAGGGACATGGGGACAGTGACACAGGACAAAACCCCGGCCGGGCTGGATGACACCGGCTCCGATGTTATCAATCGTTGTCACCGCAATCACAAATCCATATCTGGGGACAGAAATGGGGACATGGGGACATGGGACAGTGACACAGAGTGACACAGAGTGACAGAGAGTGACACAGGACAAAACCCCGGCCGGGCTGGATCACTCCGGCACCGATGTTATCGATTGTTGTCACCGCAATCACGAAACCGTACCTGAGAGGGGACAAAGGGACAGAAACAGTGACACAGAGTGACACACAGTGACAGAAACAGGGACACAGTGACACAGAGTGACAGAGGGACATGGGGACACAGGACAAAGCCCCGGCCGGGCTGGATCACCCCGGCACCGATGTTATCAATGGTGGTGACAGCGATGACAAATCCGTACCTGGGGACAGAGAGGGGACAGAGTGACACAGAGTGACAGAGAGTGACACAGAGTGACACAGAGTGACACAGAGTGACACAGGACAAAACCCCGGCCGGGCTGAATGACACCGGCTCCGATGTTATCAATGGTGGTGACAGCGATGACAAAGCCATATCTGGGGACAGAGAGGGGACAGAGTGACACAGAGTGACACAGGGACATGGGGACAGTGACACAGAGTGACACAGGGACAGTGACACAGAGTGACACAGGACAAAGCCCCGGCCGGGCTGGATGACACCCGCTCCGATGTTATCGATTGTTGTCACCGCAATCACAAATCCATACCTGGGGACACAAACAGGGACAGAGTGACACAGAGTGACACAGGGACATGGGGACACAGAGTGACACAGGACAAAACCCCGGCCGGGCTGAATGACACCGGCACCGATGTTATCGATTGTTGTCACCGCAATCACGAAACCGTACCTGGGGACAGAAATGGGGACAGAGTGACACAGAGTGACACAGGGACATGGGGACACAGAGTGACACAGAGTGACAGAAACAGGGACAGAGTGACACAGAGTGACACAGGACAAAGCCCCGGCCGGGCTGGATGACACCGGCACCGATGTTATCGATCGTGGTGACAGCGATGACAAATCCGTACCTGGGGACAGAGAGAGGGACAGAGTGACACAGAGTGACAGAGAGGGACACAGAGTGACACAGAGTGACAGAGAGGGACACAGAGTGACAGAAACAGGGACAGAGTGACACAGGACACAGGACAAAGCCCCGGCCGGGCTGGATCACACCCGCTCCGATGTTATCGATGGTGGTGACAGCGATGACAAAGCCATATCTGGGGACAGAAATGGGGACAGAGTGACACAGAGTGACAGAAACAGGGACAGAGTGACACAGAGTGACACAGAGAGGGGACAGAGTGACACAGGACAAAGCCCCGGCCGGGCTGGATCACACCCGCTCCGATGTTATCAATGGTGGTGACAGCGATGACAAATCCATACCTGAGAGGGGACAAAGCGACACAAACAGTGACACAGAGTGACACAGAGTGACACAGAGTGACAGAAACAGGGACAGAGTGACACAGGACAAAACCCCGGCCGGGCTGGATCACCCCGGCACCGATGTTATCGATTGTTGTCACCGCAATCACAAATCCATATCTGAGAGGGGACAAAGGGACAGAGTGACACAGAGTGACACAGAGTGACAGAGAGAGGGGACAGAGTGACACAGAGTGACAGAAACAGGGACAGAGTGACACAGAGTGACACAGGACAAAGCCCCGGCCGGGCTGGATGACACCGGCTCCGATGTTATCGATCGTGGTGACAGCGATGACAAATCCATATCTGGGGACAGAAATGGGGACAGAGTGACATAGAGTGACACAGAGTGACACGGGGACATGGGGACATGGGGACACAGAGGGGACAGAGGGGACACAGAGGGGACAGACAGGGACAGAGAGGACACAGCGCCGATGTTCTCAATAGCGGTGACAGCGATGACAAATCCGCACCGGACGGGATTTGGGGGAATTTGGGGGTGTTTTGGATGGGTTTGAGGAGTCCCAGGGAGGTCCCCTCCCCCTGCCCTGCTGTCCCCAGAGCTGTCCCCTCCCGGTGTCCCCTACCGGTGTGACATTTCCTCACTTTCCTGTGCACGTCCCCTCCCAGTGCTGTCCCCTCCCCGGTGTTCCCGGTGTCCCCATTGTCCCCATTACTGTCCCCGTTGTTGTCCCCATGTCCTCACTTCCCGGTGCACATCCCCTCCCCCTGTCCCCTGTCACTGTCCCCGTGTCCCCATTACTGTCCCCGTGTCCTCACTTTCCGGTGCACGTCCCCTCTCACTGTCCCCATTGCTGTCCCCATTATTGTCACTTTGTCCTCACTTTCCCGTGCACGTCCCCTCCCGTCATTGTCCCCATTGCTGTCCCCTGTCACTGTCCCCATTGTCCCCTCTCCAGTGTCCCCATGTCCCCACTCTGTCCCCATTGTCCCCATGTCCTCACTTTCTGGTGCACGTCCCCTCCACCTGTCCCCTCTCAGTGTCCCCGTTGTCCCCATTGCTGTCCCCATTGTCCCCTCCCGGTGTCCCCATGTCCCCATTGTCCCCATGTCCCCTGTCCCCGTTATTGTCCCCATTGCTGTCCCCATTGTCCCCATTATTGTCCCCCTGTCCTCACTTTCCCGTGCACATCCCCTCCTGTTATTGTCCCCATTGTCCCCATTGCTGTCCCCGTGTCCTCACTTCCCCGTGCAGGTCCCCTCCACCTCGGTGAAGAGTTTCTGTTTGACGGTGTTGAGCAAATTCGGCCCAAAATAGCGCGGGTGGAGGAGAATCTCGTGCTCCAGAGAGATCTGCGGGTAATTAACGGGGGGTAATTAACGGGGGTAATTAACGGGGGGTAATTAACGGGGGGTAATTAACGGGGGTAATTAACGGGGGTAATTAACGGGGGGTAATTAACGGGGGGTAATTAACGGGAATAACCGAGAATTAACCGAGAATTAACCGGGGAATAACGGGGATTAACGGGAACAACCAAGAATTAACCGGGGATTAATGGGAATTAATTAACGGAAATTAACGGGGATTAACGGGAGATACCGGGAGATACCGAGAAATACCGCGAATTACCGGGATCGCACCGGGAGATACAGAGAATCACCGGGAGATACCGGGAATTACCGGGAATTAATTAACGGGAATTAACGGGAGATACCGGGACCACACCGGGACCGCACCCGGAATTATCCCGAATTACCGGGACCGCACCCGGAATTACCGGGAATCATCGGGAGACACCGGGATTGCACCGGGAATTACCGGGGATTAACGGGAGTTAGCAAGAATTAACGGGAATTACCGGGAGATACCGGGACCGCGCCGGGACCCACCGGGAGCTACCGATAATTACCGGGAATCACCGGGAATTACCGGGAGTTACCGGGACCGCCCCGGACCCCACCCGGGACCCCCCGAGGGTCCCCAAATCCCCCCGGTGCCCCCCCGCCCCTCCCCCCCGTTGTGTCACGTGACCCCCGGTGCCGCTCACGTGGTAAAACATCCTCGCGCCGCCGCCGTCGCCGCACCAAATCCGCTTCCGCTTCCGCCGGAAGTTCCCGCCCGCTTCCGCCCCGCGCGGTTCTGATTGGACGCCGAACGCTCCCGGCCCCGCCCACTCGGGGGGATCGGGAATCTTCGGAAAGGGGCGGGGCCGCGGCGGGGAAAGGGCGGTGATTGGTCGGTTCGGCGCGGGGGGCGGGGCCAGGGATGGGCGGGGGACGCCCAAAAAAACCCCGGAAATCCCGAGATCCCAAAAAAACCCAAAAAAAAACCCCAAAACCCCCCCAAAAAACCCCAAAATCCCCCCGAGACCCTCAAAGACCCCAAACCTCCCCAAAATACCCCAAACCCGAATTTTCCGCCGTTTTTTTACTCCAAACCCAAAATTTCTGCCATTTTTTTATTCCAAACTCGAACTCCACCATTTTTTTCATTCCAAACCCGAATTTTCCACCATTTTTCCATTCCAGTCCCAATTTCTCCACCATTTTTTCATTCCAACCCCGATTTTTCCGCTCTTTTTCCATTCCAACCCCAATTTCTCCCCCGTTTCTCCATTCGAACTCCAATTTTTCTGCCGTTTTTCCCTCCTAATCCCAATTTTTTCCCCGTTTTTTCCCTCCTAACCCTAATTTCTCCATTTTTTCATTCCAAACCACAACTCTAGTGTTTTTTATTCTGATTTTTCCACCATTTTTCCATTCCAAACCCAATTTCTCTCCCGTTTTTCCATTCCAACCCCAATTTTTTTGCTGTTTTTTCATCCCAACACCAATTTTTTTGCCGTTTTTTCACTCCTAACCCCCATTTTTTCATTCCAACCCCAATTTTTCCGCTCTTTTTCCATTCCAACCCCAATTTTTTTGCCGTTTTTTCATCCCAACCCCAATTTTTTCACCATTTTTTCTCTCCTAACCCCCATTTTTCCACCATTTTTTCATTCCAATCCAATTTTTCTGCCATTTTTTCCATTCTAACCTCAATTTCTCCACTGTTTTTCCATTCCAACCCCAATTTTTTTCCCATTTTTGCCCCCTAACCCCCGTTTTTTCACTCTGACTCCAATTTTTTTGCCATTTTTTGCCGTTTTTTGCCCCGTAACCCCCATTTTTCTCCTGTCATGGATAGAACCTCCCGGCCAGCAGCCCGAGGCGGTGAATATTCCTGTGCAGAACGCTGTGCAGCACCGCCAGCTGCTTCCCCACATCCCCATCCCTGCTGAAATCCCTTCGGAACGCCCCGAGCTCGGGCTGGAAGGTGAAGCGCTGCGGGAAGGGGCTGTTTTCCCGCAGAGATTCCCAGTTTGCCCCAGTTCCCCCCAGTTCTGCCCCGGTTTGCCGTTCCAAACCCGATTTTTCCGCTCTTTTTCCATTCCAACCTGGATTTTTCTGCCATTTTTTCATTCT